GCGCGGTCATACAACATTGTACCCAAACTAAAATTTTATCATTTTCTTCACACAACTAGAGCTTTCTTTTGGTGGTATTTAAATCACCACTGGGGTTTTTATTTTTTGCTAAATTAACAAAAAAAAAGACCAAAAATGTTGAAAAAAACCCACGTTTTTCTTTGTTTCTGTTATAAAAGTTTACAAATAAATAATTATTCTTCATAAATTTAGGCCGAGATGTATTCTGCTACATGTCTTTGGTGAAAATAACCCAAATTAGGATGTATTATTTAGTTTGTAGGAAAGTTATAGAGTTCACAAACTATGGTATAGATCTGAATATTGATCAATCCTGAAGTACTGACAGCCAATCTAATTTCTTGAGGTCCGAGAATGTCAGAACAGTACAGATATCCCCAAATGACCCCTTTTTTGCAGAGTAGACAGTCCGACGTACTTCATAAGAGGAATGGCGAGTTTTTTGAAGTTGTATTTTTTTTGTCATTTTTTCGGAAAATGAAAAAATAAAATTATTTTCACTATTTTTTTTTTTACATACTGTCACCAGTGCAGTACAGCGTCATCATATAACTGGCATGGCGGTGAACAGGGACACTGACTGGTGACAGTATGAAAAAAAAAATATATATATTTTTTTATTTTTTTTTATTATTTTTAATTTTTTATTACTTTTTTTATTTTTTTTTAAGATTTTTTTTTCATATTTCACTATGACCAAAGTAGTACAATGTTACCATAGTAACATTGTACTACTTTGGGGAAGTGATCAGTATTTTTTTTTTTTACACAATTTGCTTATAGCAAAGAATTACTTTGCTATAAGCAAGCATTTACCTGAATGACATCAATTCATTCAGGTTTTTTTTTTTTTTTGTGCTTAGCTGTGATTTGGCCACAGCTAATCACATGACATGTGCATGTGACCTGCTGTGACCATTCACAGCTAGGCACTAGTATACAATGGATGGCATGAATGAAGCCATCCATTGTATACAACTGTCATGTGACCTGCTGTGATTGGTCACAGCAGGTCACATGGTACCAGCAACGGGGGCCGGTACTCAGATCTGTCATCGGCTGTGTCCGAGGTACACAGCCGGTGACAGATCGCACCGCTGCGTGGCTGTGGAACCGCGCGAACTGCGCATGTGCGGGAGGACGCCAAATGTACACACGGAAAGCTACAGCATTTTTGCGGCCGCCAAACGTCTATAGGCCGGGCGGCTAATGGTTAAATATGTGTTTTTCTAAGAGGAAACTTAAAGCACAATTCCAAGCTAAAGTTGTATTGGTTGAAATACCCCTTCCCAGGCAGTATTAAAATAAATCAAATCTAGATGCAATATTTAGCTTTAATCAAGAGTTGTCCCCTAAACAGGCAGCAGCGACGGTCAGATCTATGTGGCTACACTCAGGAAACTGGGACCAGACTGTGTATGCTTTAAGTGAGATTTATTTACAGTAAAACAAAATCTATCTGAACACCAGCACACAGCAAACATAAAAGTGAAACCCAGACAGAGACAGAATACCTGACTAATTACTAACAAACAGAAAGCCTAACTAACATATAACTATATACAACATATACAATAAGAGGAACACAGAAAAGCATGGAAAACTGGAGGTACAGGAAGCAGATGGGAAGGGGTAACAAAACCCAGGAACAAGGGAGAGCAGGTACAAGGCAGCAGAATTCAAGGTACAGCTTTCAGGGCAGGAGAATTAACAGGATAACAACTAGCAGTATCTGGCAGCAAGCAAAACATGGGAGTCAGAGGCACTAACAGGGGAGGAACTAAATACCCTCCCAGCAGCCAGCATCCAGTGGAAACTGATTACTGGGATCTGGCTGCTGGGAGACACACCGGAACTACAACCTTATGCTCTGCAAAGCACAGTGCCACCAGCAGGTGAGCCAGGTCCTGACAATGTGTTGAATGACACCTGGCATCACTCCACTTGGAAGACTGACAACATACTGTGAGTGCCGGGGGTCATGGCTCTGACTGGCCACTAAGGGGCATCAGCATGGAGCCCTTCATTTATACTGGTGATTAAAGTAGCGCCGATATCATCACATCATCTTTGCTCCCTGTATCAGCAAGGACTTACCAACTCAAAGAAAATTCATAGATGAAGAGGACCTCTGCGGCATTGCATGACCAGCCTGGAGACTTCATAAAACGTAAGTATTAACATATAAAAAGCAGTGGGGGGCCACAAGGTGCAAAGGAGGATGATTTGCAAGGAAGGCACAAGCTGGAGCTCGGCTGTATTGAGTATAGACATTACAGCATAGATCAGCATTTCCAACCTTTAATCAGTTGTGGCACCCTGCAAAATCTCAAGGCACCCTAGTCTAAAATGTAAACAATGTAAATGTTACTTATGAATGGAAACCTGAGCCTGACACAATGCACACAACTATCTAGATGAAATTAACTACACATCAAAGGTTCCACCTTCACATCAGAGCCCCCCAAGCCTTTTTTTATGAGAATCCCTTCTTCACATCAGTGCCCCTCCCCCCTATCATGTCAGAGGTCTGCATCGTATCAGAATCCACCCTATACATTATAGCCTACCTTGACATGAGAGCCCCCCATTACATCAGAGTTGCCACCCCATTACCACAGAGTCCCTCCATCCAAGCCCTACCATTTGGGTCAAGCAATGCAGCAGAGAGTAGGAGGTCTGGAGGAGGTGGATTTCCATCTTCTTCACAAACAAGAATTTCCCAGTACACTTACCAGCTAGCCTGCAAACAAACCACATTTACTCTGTCTAACAATTCATGTTAAACACAGAGGGTTTCGTTGCACACATTTGCAAATATACGTGGTAGCCGCAGTGCCCACATCAAGGCTCTTCTGTATACTGCGGTCCTAGCTCTATATTTTTGAGAGTCTCCAAGCTGGAGCATACATAGCAGTGGATAAATGTATTAAACCTTGGTTTGAGTAGATGCTTTGGAGGACAGAGGAGAGATCTGAGGTCTAATAAAGAGGACCTGTAACGGCCCATGCTATCACAGTGGATGTTGTTCATTCATTGTGATAGCAATAAAGTTGATTTGAAAAAAAATAAAGGGACAATGTAAAGGAAAGTCTTTTATAAAATGTATAATATTAATATGAAAAAAAAAATTGCTCACATGCAAAATGCGAACACACACCTAAGTCCCACACATATATGTGAACGGTGATCATACCACACATGTGAGATATCACGAGAATGTCAGAGTGAGAGCAATAATTCTAGAACCAGACCTCCTGTGTAACTCTAAACTGGTAACTTGTAAAGGCCTTTAACCCCTCGCCTACAGGGCACTTCTACCCCCTTCCTGCCCAGGACAATTTTCAGCTTTCAGCGCTGTCACACTTTGAATGACAATTGAGCGGTCATGCAACACTGTACCCATATGAAATGTTTATCATTTTTTTGAGACAGATAGAGCTTTCTTTTGGTAGTATTTAATCACCTCTGGGATTTTATCTTTTGCTAAACAAACCAAAAACAACTGACATTTTTGAGGAAAAAAAAAGTTTTTTCTTAGTTTTTTTTTAATAAAACTTTGTAAATAAGTGATTTTTCTCCTTCACTGATGTTCGCTAATGAGGCTGTAATGATGGGCACTGATAGGCTGCACTGATAGGTGGCACTGATGAGGAAGCACTGGTAGGTGGAACTGATGGGCATTGATAGGCATCACTGATGGGCACTGAAAGGCAGCACTCATATATGACACTGATAGGCGGCCCTGATAGGTGGCACTGACTGGCACTGTTAGGTGGCACAGACTGGCACTGTTAGGCGACACTGATAGGCAGCACTGATGCGCACTGATAGGTGGCACTGACTGGCACTGATAGACAGTACTGATTGGAAGCGATAGGTGGCACTGATAGGCGGCCCTGATAGGTGGCACTGATTGGCAGCACTGATAGGTAACACTGAAAGGCAGCTCAGATGGGCACTGATATGTGGCATTGATGTGGCACTGATGGGCACTGGCAGGTGGCGTTGATGAGCACTGACAGCTGGTATTGATGGACACTGACAGGTGGCACTGCTGGGGCTACACTGATGATCAGTGTACATGTCCCCTCTAAGGGATGCCAATTACCATCTCTCCTCTTCTCTGTCAGCGTGACAGCTTGTGAGGAGAGAAATGCTGATAACCGGCATTTCCTTATTTACATGCGATCAGCTATGATTGGACACAGCTGATCACATGACTGGGCCGACATCTTCAGCTCTTTCTGTTGATCGGTGATCCGCTGTGTCCAAGGGACACAGTGCACCAACGATCGCCGCGGGAGCCACACGTTCGCGGTTAGAGTGGGAGGACATCATATGACGTCCATATGACGTCCTCCCAGAACGAGAGAACCGCCTTGCACCCGTCATTACCCTTATATGGGGGGCGGGAGGCGGTTAAAGTGTCACCTATGGAGATTTTTAGGTACCAGAGTTTGTCGTCATTTCCCGTGCAGGTAGAATTTTAACCACTAGCCTACAGGGCACTTATACCCCCTTCCTGCCCAGGCCAATTTCCAGCTTACAGCGCTGTCGCACTTTGAATGACAATTGCGCGGTCATGCAACACTGTACCCATATGACATTTTTATCATTTTTTTTTTTGAGACAGATAGAGCTTTCTTTTGGTGGTATTTAATCACCTCTGGGATTTTTATTTTTTCTTAAACAAACCAAAAACCACTGAACATTTTGAAAAAAAAAAACATTTTTTCTTAGTTTTTGTTATACAATTTTGTAAATAAGTGATTTTTCTCCTTCACTGATGTGCACTAATGAGGCTGCACTGATGGGCACTGATAGGCTGCACTGATGGACACTGATAGGTGGCACTGATGAGGAGGCACTGGTACGTTGCACTGATGGGCATTGACAGGCATCACTGATAGGCACTGAAAGGCAGCACTGATGCATGACACTGATGCATGACACTGATGCATGACACTGATATATGGCACTGATAGGCGGCACAGATAGGCAGCACTGACTGGCACTGATAGGCGACACTGACTGGCACTGATAGGTGGCACTGATTAACATTGATAGGTGGCACTGATGGGTGACATTGAAAGGCAGCTCAGATGGGCACTGATATGTGGCATTGATGTGCACTGGTATGCACTGATATGTGGCATTGATGTGGCACTGATGGGCACTGGCACTGACAGGTGGCACTTCTGGGGCCACACTGATCATCAGGGCACACTGATCATCAGTGCCCTGATGATCAGTGTACATGTCCCCTCCGCGGAAAGCCAATTACTGGCTCTCCTCTCCTCTCGAGCTGTCAGCGTGACAGCTCGAGAGGAGAGAAAATGCCGATATCCGGCATTTCCGTGTTTACATGTGATCAGCTGTGATTGGACACAGCTGATCACATGACTGAGCCGACATCTCTTTCCGTGATCTGCTGTGTTTAAGAGACACAGCGCACCGGTGATCGCTGCGTGCTCCCTGAGCCGCGCATGCGCAGTGAGAATGGTAGGATGTCATATGACGTCCTATCAGAACGAGAGAACCACCTTTGCGCCCGTCATTGTACTATAGGGCGGGCGGAAGGTGGTTAACCCCTTCCCGCCGACGCCTCCCGGTCCTTTAAGAGATTCAGACGCCGGAAGGCGGGGCGGTTGGGGCGTGGTTTAGGAATCATGTGACCGCCGTGATGACGCGTCACGGCGGTCACATGATCGGGAAAGGTCCCGTTCGAAAGAGCGGACCGGGACCTTTCCGCGAGTACCACACCTGTGCGCTGGGAGCGCGCAGGGCGCGCTCTCGGCACATATGTATTTAGTTACATGGACGCAAATGTGCGGCCGCTCGGCATCTAGGCCCAGACGCCGGGCGGCCGCACATTTGTGTGCGGCCGGCGCAAAGGGGTTAAAGCACGGTATGTTAGGTATCTATATACTCAGCATAACACCATATTTTACGAAAAATGGGAATTGTACTGTGTTTTTGTGCACTAAACTTCATAAAACGTTATTTTTTCTAAAAATGTGCGAACATTGTGTGAGATGAAAAAAAAACATAATTTTGATCGCTAGGGTCTCTGCTTTTAAAAATATATAATGTTTGGGGGTTCTCAGTAATTTTCTAGCAACCAAATGCTGATGTTTACATGTATGTCAGAAATGTCAGAATGGGCCTGGGGGTCAGGTGTTTAAATCATGCACTAGTACTTCTTGCATTGCTGTGTATTGACTTGCTGAGTTGGAGTAAAGGTTTCATTTAGTTGACTTGCATGGCAAAAAGGTCAACATACCCAACATTCCCACAGCACACTGCAATGCATTGGTAAGAATAGGTCCAATTGAAAAACAACTGATTTTTTCTTGGCTGTGCATTTGGCTGCAGACAGATATAAGAGACACAAATTAACCACTTCGGGTCACTTTCACCCCCTTTCTGTCCAGGCCAATTTTCAGCTTTCAGCGCTATCATACTTTGAATGACAATTGCGCGGTCATGCAACACGGTATCCATATGAATTGTTTAGCATTTTTTGAGACAGATAAAACTTTATTTTGGTGGTATTTATTCACCACTGGGATTTTTATTTTTTTGCTATATAAATGAAAGAGTCAAAACACTTTGAAAAAAACGTTTTTTTTTCTTATAAAAGTTTGCAAATAAATAATCTTTCTTCATAAATCTTGGCCAAAATGTATTCAGCTATCTTTTTAGTAAAAAAATAAATAAATAACCCAAATTAGTTTATAACCAAACATTATAATTTTTTAAAAAAAATTGTTTTACATTTTTTATTTTTTAATATTTTTTTTTTTTAACATTCTGTCACCCTAGCAGTGCAGTGTCACTATAGTGACACTGTACTACTTGTGGGGGGTTATTAAGATTTTTTTTTTTTTCACACTGATTGCTTTTACACCCATAAAGGCTATAAAAGCAATAATTTCTCCTCTCTGGGAAATACTGTGAGAGCTGTGATTGGTCACAGCTTGTCACATGGTAAAAGGCTGTTGTGAATAGCCTTGTACCATGTGACCTCTGTGATCATTTCACATGTAGTAAGCAATGATGTCAGAAGTGACATCTTGCTTACTACTATTCATGTGATCACTGATTGGCCAATCAGTGATCACATGATCGGGACCTTACACAGAGGAGCCATACAGCGATCAGTGACCGCGGTGCTGCGCGCTCCTAGGGAGCGTGCACAGGCAGTGAATGTGGGGGCCGTTTATGAACGGCTACCTGCTTCTGCACTGCTCCCGTCCAGCCGTTTATGTACATGGGCCAGACGGGAAGTGGTTAATGAAGCTTTGTAATCATGAAGACATCAGTAAGTGCATTTTTTTTATTATGTAAGCAGAGTAAGTACCTGATTTTGACTTGGTATCAGTCTGTTTCAGCTAAAGTGTGAGAGGAAGAAGTAAAAGGAGCCAAGTCATGTGCTGAGAAAGAAGCATGTTGACAGGGAGAGAAAGCAGAGCATCAAAGAGATGAGCTCATCACTGTGCTACCTCTTCTTTCATTGCCTAGTCTCAGGATGGGGTGGACCCTGGAGGGCTGGCCATCAAATGAGGACACCTAATGGCAGAAAAAAGTACTGCAGGGAAAATATCTGGATGTAAGGGGAGTATGGGAGTATGGGGGGGGGATACTGCTACCTAAACATTTTGTACCTTAATGCAGGTTAAAAGGTTAAAAAAAGTTTAGGCTTTAAGACCACTTTAATTTTGAACTTCGGGCAAACATCTGTTTACACCAACTACCTCCCGAAGCATTTGTCTTTCTGTCCATCTATGGGAGTAGTCCATCCCTCATCTTATGACTAAACAGTGAAGAGAGAAGCAGCAGACTGATGAACTCACCTGTCACTTTACTCTCTCCTCCTGTCTGCATGCTCCTTGTTAGCACATTGGCACTGCAGCACAAACTGATTGACTCCATGTGCTGCTTCTGAGAGTCCACACAGACATAGCCATCTGTCTGTCAATCACTGAGAGTCTGTATCTTATTTTATTACAAAAGTAACTCATTACTAATAGCACATTATTTACAGCACATTAGCAATTATTTTGAATATTCAAATTTACCACAGAGATCCGTGACTGATACATTTGCCCTTAGCTTATGGTTTCCTACATTTACACTGAATTCTCAGTTGGATTTTAATATCTTTATTATTTACAGCACAAAGTCCATTTCCATATATAATTGAATATATATTAAATATGTCACTTTAATTTAGGCTTAATGGTCCCTTAAATGCCCCACAAGCGATTGTCCCTGACCCTGCGCCACCCTAGCCATGTGATCAAAGTTAATTACATATGCAAGTGGCTGAAAAGGAAAAAAAATCATTTCTACATCAATTATCATTTTAATTGTGCAGGTCTTCGGACGTGACCTGTTATTAGTAAGTTGGTAGATCTGCATTATAGTTACATAATTATTTTACTATGCCCCACTTTGCTGTCAGGGCCAGTTTGTTTTTATAATTATTATTATACCTTGTAAAGACTAATAAAGTCCTTATTATTATATTATTATTATACTAATATTATATATTTTATTATATGTATCCAAAAATGTTATATATATATATATATATATATATATATATATATACACAGCATAATACAGTGAGAATATATATATATATATATATATATATATATATACACATACATACACACACACAGTGGGGCAAAAAAGTATTTAGTCGGCCACCAATTTTGCAAGTTCTCCCACTTAAAAAGATGAGAGAGGCCTGTAATTGGCATCATAGGTAGAGCTCAACTATGAGAGACAAGATGAGAAAAAAAATCCAGACAATCACATTGGCTGATTTGGAAAGAATTTGCAAATTATGGTGGAAAATAAGTATTTGGTCAATATCAAAAGTTCATCTCAATACTTTGTTATATATCCTTTGTTGGCAATGACAGAGGTCAAACGTTTCCTGTAAGTCTTCACAAGGTTGGCACACACTGTTGCTGGTATGTTGGCCCATCCTCCATGCAGATCTCCTCTAGAGCAGTGATGTTTTGGGGCTGTCGCTGGGCAACACAGACTTTCAACTCCCTCCAAATGTTTTCTATGGGGCTGAGATCTGGAGACTGGCTAGGCCACTCCAGGACCTTGAAATGCTTCTTACGAAGCCACTCCTTCGTTGCCCGGGTGGTATGTTTGGGATCATTGTCATGTTGGAAGACCCGGCCACGTTTCATCTTCAATGCCTTGCTGATGGAAGGAGGTTTGCACTCAAAATCTCACGATACATGGCCCCATTCATTCTGTCCTGTACATGGATCAGTCGTCCTGGTCCCTTTGCGGAGAAACAGCCCCAAAGCATGATGTTGCCACCCCCATGCTTTACAGTAGGTATGGTGTTCTTTGGATGCAACTCAGCATTCTCCCTCCTCCAAACACGACGAGTTGTGTTTCTACCAAACAGTTCTATTTTGGTTTCATATGACATTCTCCCAATCCTCTTCTGAATCATCCAAATGCTCTCTAGCAAACTTCAGACGGGCCATGTACTGGCTTAAGCAGGGGGACACGTCTGGCACTGCAGGATCTGAGTCCCTGGCGGCGTAGTGTGTTACTGATGGTAGCCTTTGTTAGGTTGGTCCCAGCTCTCTGCAGATCATTCACTAGGTCCCCCCGTGTGGTCCTGGGATTTTTGCTCACCGTTCTTGTGATCATTTTGACCCCATGGGGTGAGATCTTGCGTGGAGCCCCAGATCGAGGGAGATTATCAGTGGTCTTGTATGTCTTCCATTTTCTAATTATTGCTCCCACAGTTGATTTGTTCACACCAAGCTGCTTACCTATTGCAGATTCAGTCTTCCCAGCATGGTGCAGGTCTACAATTTTGTTTCTGGTGTCCATCGACAGCTCTTTGATCTTCACCATAGTGGAGTTTGGAGTGTGACTGTTTGAGGTTGTGGACAGGTGTCTTTTATACTGATAACAAGTTCAAACAGGTGCCATTGATACAGGTAATGAGTGCAGGACAGAGGAGCCTCTTAAAGAAGAAGGTACAGGTCTGTGAGAGCCAGAAATCTTGCTTGTTTGTAGGTGACCAAATACTTATTTTCCACCATAATTTGCAAATAAATTCTTTCCAAATCAGCCAATTCGATTGTCTGTCTGTTTTTTTTTATCTCATTTTGTCTCTCATAGTTGAGGTCTACCTATGATGCCAATTACAGGCCTCTCTCATCTTTTTAAGTGGGAGAACTTGCACAATTGGTGGCTAACTAAATACTTTTTTGCCCCACTGTATATATATATATGGGATATGATGAGTGTAAAAGGATTTACATTATTTGGTGTACTTTAGTAGACCCCACCTTAAGCTACGTTCACATCTATGCGTGTGCGGTTGATACGTTTTTTTAATGTATTTTTTTACAGTGCATTTTCACACCTTTTTATGTGTTTTCAAGCTTCCTGCATTTTTTTTTCGTAGGAGGAGGAGGCTA